AGCCTTCCCAGATGCCCCCATTCTGGCCCCCCCCCCCCCCCCCACCCCCAATGCTGGTGCCCCATTTGCCTTGCCATAGTCACACTACCACAAGGGTGTCAAACATACAGCCTGTAGGCCAGGCCAGGCCAGGCCTGTGGAGCCACTCTTATCCAGTTTGCTTGGCTACTACAGGTGACTGGAAGCGGGTGAGCATGGCCTGCCACAGAATCAGGGTCCTTTGGCTCCTCTGGCCATGGCCCCCAGACCTCCCCCCCGGACCCACTGCTGCCAATTGACCCCTGCCAGCATACCCCTCTTGCCACTGGTGTACCCTTCATTGCTGCCATTGCGGTGGCCGCCCCCCATGCCCTGGGCTGTATCTGGCCCACAAATAACCCCACAGTACAAGTCCAGGGACTCAGGTGAGTTTGACACCCTACGCTACTAAAATCAGGGATACTAGGCTGATGGCAACAGGAAAGAAGCTATTGGACTACACAGACTCTAGTTAAATTGCTTGCTATTACCCATTAAACAGTGGGAACTCTTACATCTATGACTGAGAACATGTCTGCATCTCATGACAGTGAAGCCTGCACTCATTCTGACAGTACCTGAAAGGTATGCTCGGTCCCCTTTTTGGAACACGTTGAATGCTATCTTCTTATTGGTGGCACTCTCACTGACATAGCCATCAAACCGTCGTAAGGGGTCCTGTTGGTTTATTCGACCCACAAGGAGGCCTGGCTCTCCTAGAGAAAATAGGACATGACTCCATGAGGTGGCAAATGCAGTCAAGGGTGCCCAAACTAATGATGGTTTTTGCCACATGTACTCGATTCATGCAGACTGTCTTACTGTCAAGACATTGACTGAGCTGGGCTTTTGAAGTAGAGACCTGGAGCGGAAAGGCTTTTTATTCTATTACTAGTCCCTGAAGCTAGCAGTCACTTATCTGATAGCCTTCTAGAACAGTTAAGGCTTTGTAAACAGTAACATTTACCTGGGCGGCAGGGGATGCAGAGCCCACTGGAGCCACGGATAAGCTCCATAGTGTCCTCATTTACCTTCACCAAGCGAATGGGATAAACATTGGGCAAAATCCGACTGTTGAAGCCACAAGCGCCAACCTTACAAAAACAAGTAAAAACAAATGAACAGTGAAGGGCTTGGCCTCTCAGCTGCCCCTTCCATTGTATCTGGTTGCCTTCTTCCTAACAAAGACAGATGTTTTCTGAACCTCTTCCCAGCTAACAGGTAGGCAAATGCACCCCAGATGGCAACTGTCCTGTAGAGGTAATGTTCACATAAATTTACAGATTTAGTTCATTGCAGGGTACTATCAGGGCTGTGAGAGAAGCAGGGCAGATCATCTGCATAAGCAGACAGAATACATCCATCTTCACTGTAGCCATGCATGGCCTACCTTTCCATCCAGGTTAGCAATGCTGCAGTTACACTCTGTGGCTCCATAGAACTCCCCAATCTGCTTAATTCGAAAACGCTTTGTGAAGTCTTCCCATATGGTGGGTCTCAAGCCATTTCCCACGGCCAGCCGCACCTGATGCTGCGTTTCTGCCTCCCGTGCTGGCTGATTAAGAAGATACCTGCAGATCTCCCCAATATACTGAATAATCTGAAGCAGTAAACATAAGTACAGATCAGACTTCAAGAGGCTTTTATTAACGTGCTGGGAAAACCTGATACATCAATGTATATGGCTGCACATTCACGGGATGAGCTATCATAGCATCTGCTGTGTGGTTTATAGTGCAGTCTCCTTGGGCTTTTGTACACGCCACAAAAATTGGCCTTTAAAGTGGCTTAAATGCCCTTTTGCACCACTTTAAATGTGTGGCTGTTTACACTGTCAGCGGCATACTGTGCATTAAATGACTTTGGGATGTAGCAAAATAAAAACACCTCTGAGGTGTTTTAGTTTACTACCTTACAGCTCTGGAGGGAAGCACCAGGCCTGGTGCACCTCAGGGGCTGTGTAAGCAGCCCAGCGGCAGCCTGTGCAGGCAGGCTTCCGCCTGGGCCAGGTACCTGAAGGCAGGTGCTACCTGGGGGGTGTCACCATGAAGGGAAGCACCAGCCCCCCCCACAGCTCAGGGACCATTTGGCCCACCAGCAGCACACGCTCCCCACCCACTGCTGACAGAGAGGCAGGTAAGGATCAGGCCCAACCCTTGTGTATACACCACCAGGGTTCACTTCCGTTTAATTCTCCCTAAATTGAAACAGTGTTTTTAAAAACCCACCACTTGAATTTAGGGAGAATTACACCAAAGTAAACCCCTGTGACATGTATAAGCAGCCCTTGTGCTGAGAACTGCACAAAGATTAAAGAAAATTGCCACTGTCCCTAACAGCCTGTAACTCTAAACAAGCACAGATCAGAGACAGGTATGGGTAGAAGCACAGGCAAGACAAACGTGACTTTGGCAACTGGAGCAGCCAGCCAATTACAGCGATGGCCCTTAGATTTGTTATAGGTCACAGCAGAGGACAATACGCAAGCGCATACAGAAAGGAGAGGATGTGGACTACTGAATTGTGTTAAGGAAGACAGGAAGGCCCCCAAAGAATACTCTTGCAGCTGCAGGAATGTTAAGTGGAGGGAAATAAAAGGTTTGGTTAGTCAGAGGGGTAAACAATGCTAAATTCAGATAATAAGTTACAGTATGCTGATGTGCAGGGATCCTGAAAGTAACTGTTTCCCTGTAGCTGCTGTAGAGTCATCCCTGGCTGCACCACAAGAGGTCAGTTCTCCTCCTCTCCCCAGTTTGGGTAGGTCCCCCTCTGCTCCACTGCTGCTTCTCTTGTTTGGGGAAGTCTCTGCTGCTCCCTGTACTGCTGAGGCCCTGATCTGGTGTTCCCTGCAGTGTGTTACACTGCAACAGAGAGAGGCTCATGCCTGCCAAAGAATGGGTTGCATCTACAATGCAAGGTCCTCAAAGAGCCAGGGCAAATGAGAATGCTGTTTTTTGGATCAGAGTGCTGCTAAGCAGTTCAGAATAATACACTGGAGCTGGGGGAAGTATGCAGAATTTCCAATACCAGCCTGCAAGCCATGACACATCAATACCCCTGGGGGTTGGGGAAGAAGAATTTTGATCAGTCCAGTTCTCCTTATGTTGTGCTGGTCACAATCCTCCTCCTACCTCAGCTCTGTCCATTTCCATAAGATGGAAGCAGCTGTGTGTTCAGAGTCAGAATTTATCTACTGTCCATCACCCAAAGCACATATATTTGAAAGGAAAGAACTGAAACAGTCAAGACAAATCCTTCCTTCCATGAATCAGCTGTCCACTCAAGGCAAAGGCCAAGAACTCTCTGAAGTCACTAGATGAGACTAACAGTTAAAACACAGTCTAAAACTTCTTCCTTAACTGTGCTTTTGGAAGTCAGGGGAGGTAGAGCCACAAGGCACTCACATTTTATGTTTACACTGAGGTTATAAATTCTTAAAAGCATCTCATTTCTCTAGTTTCTATTTCAACAGGATTAAGTTAAATTCATTGTGTGTACTGGAATCATGAACGAGAGGCAGGAATGATCACTTCTCTGCCTTTATGCCCCACATTTCCTGATGTTCACTTTATTCATTTACATATGGACTGACTGAACAAATTAAATTTGCTGTTTGCTATTGGGGTAGTGAGCATGGAGCACTGTCAGGTGGACAATCCAGTCTCTCCACTCCCATTTCTGTGGTTATCCAGGACAAAGTACTACAGTCCAGGACATTGAAGGTTTATAGCATAATGCTTAAAGATAGGAGAAGGAAAAGAAAGACTTTGGAGGAGTGATAAGACTCATGGCAGAACGTGTGAGGTGGATAGCAGGGAAATGTCAGAAGAGAGGTCTGCATCTAGAAATAACCCCTGTCCAAAACAATTGCTCATCTGCTTCAGGCTGCAGAGACAACACTGCTCTGCTGGCAGAGTTTTCAATGTTCCTTACTGTGCATTTGTATTTTGTGCAATCATCCCAAAAGCGACTTGCTGAGAACTTCTTCCTGATCACCACAGTGAGACCATGGATAAGACACTGGCCGACTCCCATGATGTTACCTGGAAGACCAGGAGAAGCAGGGTATCAGTACTGCTCTGAGTTTAAATCACTTCAAAATAGATTCTTTTACAAGACTACTGGAGGGTCCCTGGCAACACCTGGATCCACTAGAGCACTAAAACAGGCAGAACTAGCATGACCCTTTGCCTCTGAAGAGAAAGCAGCCTACCTGCTGAATGGTAGAGGGGCAGGCAGTTGTACACGATGTCCTCGGGACGCATTCTGTAGGCGTAGTACCCAAAAGCAGCTATACGATAGTACCTAGAAGAACACGAAAAATGCTAAGGAAGTGACACAAATACAGCCTTGACCATCACTGGCTGAAGAGCAGCTTCTGGGGGGAGCTTCTCATTAGTTTCTCACCTACTATGAACTACGATGGCAGCCTTCGGCATCCCAGTTGTGCCAGAGGTGTAGATATAGAAGAGTCTATCTAAAGAAGAGAAAGCAGGTGTAGGGCAGATCATTCTCAGCTATTTCTGTGGACAAATCTCATTTTGCCTACGGTACTTTCTCCTTATCAGTCTTTTGGCAAATCACGAGTGATGGCTGTGAACTGGTGACAGCCCATGAGGCAGTAAGCTGATAGGGCTGGCATGGAAACTGTCACAGCTGCAAGAGAGAGAGAGCTCAGTCCCCAGGAGCTTCACCCACACAGGCAGACAGTCAAAGGCACCTTCCTAAATCACTGAATTTAGAATGCAGGGGCCTAAGGGGACAAATTTTTCTTCTCTCTCCAAACTGCCTTGGAAATAGGTCAGCTGTCAGACTTAGACATCAATGGGGAGATGAATCTAGGGGAAAGGTCACTCCAACCTATGCCTGAGACAAGCAAGTAGCATAGAGCAAAGTTCCTGAGATTCTCAAGGGAATCCAGCAAGTCTGCATTCCAAGACATTGCAATCCCCCTGCTGATATACTAACAGAGTTACTGAAACAGAGAGAACACACTCACCAGTTCTAACACAGTTAATGGTCTCAAAAATATTACATAAACTACTTCCAGTTCCAGTAGATACTAAATGCTGCCCAGCCAGTTCTCTCCTTCATTCCTTCCTTCCTTCCTTCCTCTCTCCACAAAAAGAGGTTGAGCTATTTGTAAAACCTAAACCCCCATGTGGGTATTACAGGAAAATAGGAGAATCTGAATCTAGGAAACTTTGTCTGCACTTTCCCAACAACACATGATTAATTGGCAAGCCTCTCTCCTGAGACTCAGTTCTGGAAGATGTGCCCTCAAGTCTATCAGCTTCAGCAGGAGTAAGGTGACAGAGCATTTCTTTGCAGAAAGTGCATCCCTGGTAGGGTGAGGTCTTTAAAAAAGTAACAGCCAACTCACTCTTGTCACTGCAGGCTCCTCTGAAAGCTCTGGAACGATTTTCAAGCAGGCATCTACCACCGTGCAGTTCAGGTTCTTACATGCACAGGGAGACTTGTGCTTCAAACACTGCAACACAAGGTCCTCTACAATTTGCCTCTAGATTTGGGTATTCAAACAAAGTTCTCAAATTGCAGTCTCATACATGCTACCAAGGAGAATAAAAACACCAAGAAATTTACCATCTAAACCTTTGGCTGGGATTTGATGGGGAGGAGATTTTGATGTGGCACTCAGAAGATGATCAAGATGTTTCGTCTCCATGGGGACAGAGTCCGGGTTAAAGTCTCCAGAGCAGAACTTTGTCATGTTCTTCCCCAGCATCCCATTCACTTCAGATATTGCTGCAACATACAACACGTTCCATTGCAAAAGTACAACAGTCTAGGCCGCATTATAAAAGCAGTCACTTAATATTGGTGATATTATTAAATCTCAAAAGGCATCTACAATGCTCAGACCAAGAGACACAAAGAGCATTTAAGAGACTATCCTAGTAACATCCAAATTACCATGATTCCAACATCCTAGTTTCAACAAAAGACCTTCCTGGAAGTCTAGGCAAATTCATCTCTCCATCCATTTGTACCATGTATAGTGGTACAACATTAGCAATCTGCTGGAATTTAGATGGTATTAACCAGAGACTGCCTCAGCCAATTCTTGGAAGCAAGCAGTTTGGACTTGCTGAGCTAAAACGCCTTTACTCCTTGTAATTGTTTAATAGCCTCCTTAGCTAAAAATGGACTGGAAATTACTTCCATCATCCTCATCTGATACGAGTACATCATCCCATTTCTTTCCATACACAGAACATATAGACCGACTGAAAATCTTTGCCTTTTTTTTTTTTACATCCTTCCTCAGGACTAAGTAAGAAGTGCATACAAACTCCTGAGTGACTTACCTGCGGACAGCTCTCCTCCAAAGATCACAGCTTTTGCACCTGAGGTTGTCACACAGTAAACCAGAGAATCAAGACGCAAATTGAAGTTGATAAGGGCTGCCTCAATGCCAACTTTTGCCATCCCCAGCCAGAGGCCCACATACTCAGGACGGCTCTCCATGAAGATGGCAATCACGTCACCCAGCTGGTATCCCTGCTGGTAGAAGAAGTTAGCTACTGCATTGGAATATTCATCCAGACGCTTGAAAGTCCATTTCTCATCAGTGGCTTCATAGACCAGTGCCACTTTGTCAGGGTGCCTGCGGACAACATCCTGGAAGATCTTTGGAACAGTAGTTTTGGCTCGTTGATGCTTTCGCAACTCATATTTGACTCGTAACAGCACTGAGAGGCCACTGCATCAAGGAGAAGAAAGTCAACGCTAGCAAAAAACTCAGCACCCCCAAAAGAATTTAAACATACAGTCCAATACTGTCTGCCTACTATACAGGCTGGTAACTTTTGGCACAATTTTCTACTCCGCCATTTGAGCTAAAAAAGTTCTACCTGTCACTAGGGTACACATGAAAGCTATTTACTGCAGTCAGGAAGCCTAAACCATCAAATTCAGGAGAACCTAAATTTTCAGTTAAATAAGAAGTTTCTTTTTAGCTGACACAGTTCAGCACTTACAGATAAGCATGGTCCTGAGCTTCTATTGCTCCCAATAAGCCTTCTCTTGAAGATTCAAAGTGAAAGTGGCTAGACTATATAGAATTATACAGCTTCTCCAACAGTATGTGGACAAGCAAAGCAACAAGATGTTTCACTCTACTGGTGCTTGGAAATCCTTCCAGCAGGAAAAGGAGCAGTACTTACAAAAAACACACACGCACCACGCACAAAGGAGAAGCAAAGGGTCCATGATCCAACACTGAAGAGACTGGGGGAAAAGGGGAGAAGGGAGGGAAGAGAACAAAGAGAAAAAAAATCCTCCTTTCAGCAGGGACAAAGGCCTCCAAAGGAAATGGACATCTATTAGTCTCATGTAATACAAAAAGATGGTATTTTAAAGTACAATCTGGAAATAGACCCATGTTAAAAATTCCACCCACCTCCTCTGTCCCACTATTTGGGCATTGCCTTCTATCTCACTCACATCCATCTCTTTCATCTTTTGTATTAGCATCTAGCTAGCTGGCACCTGCTAAGGTTTTCATGCTTCAGTGCTGGAATCACACAGAGGCCAAGTGAACTGCAGCATTTAGAATTCTGGATTTGACTTGGAAATCAGATTCCTAGTGTTAAGCTTTTAGGAACCCTGGATTTGGAGACTCGGCATGTTTTACCGTGGAATCAATGGATGTGGTTAAATCCTGCCAGCCATTAAATATCCTTACAAAGTCAGGAAACAAAATATTGCAAAATGCAGTAAGCAGGGCTCTTGGAAATAGATCATGTCACAGTGTGAGGCCACATTGCAGCCTTCTTTGCAGTTTTCTTTGGGGGAACTAGGAAAGAAGATGCTTCTGACTAGAACAAAGCAAAAGATGGTTTCATTGTGTGACATCAAATCATAATGAGGTTTAAAAGAACACAGCCAAAGGCTTCCAATATAAAAAACCCTACACAATTGTGAGCGAGTATGCTGTTCCTACTCGGAACAGAACTGTTCACTGTACTGCTTTTCATATGCATCTTCTTTCCATTCACAACCCCATGCCACTTCTACCACGGGGGAGAGAGAGAGAGAGAGAGACACTCTCGATGCTGCTAAATGAAAACTATGTGGGAAAGAGAGGACAAAATATTTTAGAAATTGCTGGAGGGAACAAACACAAGGAGAGTGCTTGCTAAAGATCATCCAAAAGAACATGAATAGGAGTTAATAGATGATCAAGGGGAAAAATAGGTTGAATAACTGCAAAACAAAGATCTACTAGATTCTAAATAGGAATCCCAAGGAAAAGGGAACTGTGTTCACCTCTCTGGATATTCAGTATTGGAAAAAAAAGTACTGAAAACATGATAAATAACCTTGCACTAACCAAGCAGAACAAACTAGATTTGACCTAACAGGTCTTTTCCACTTTTTCCAATTGCTATGATCATTTTAAAGCAGGCAAGCTTTAGCAGCTAAATGCATCTTGATGAAATATTTTGTTACTCTTAAGTGTGAACTGTTTCATCTGAAACATAACCATGGAGTACTCTACATTTGCCATGATTCTTCTGCTTTTTCTTACATTTACAGATATATAGTCTCTAATGGGAGATGTTTTATAATCCTTAATATGCAGATAAATACACCATCTTAGCACCAAGATCTCCTGATTTCCTGATGGCAGGAAGCTTGTGACAGTATTTTTTCCATCAAACAGGAAAGAGTTGCAACATAGGTGTCTGGATACGCCTCCAGAAACATGAAAGGTCATTTAATATCAGCTCTTAAAAAACCCTCATGACTGAGTGCCAAAGACAGGAGCCCTGGTCAGCAAAGCTGCAAGGAATGGGGGGAGGGTGCTGTTTTAGAAACAACTTGCTGGCACTTTGCCAGGTTGAGCTGGCCTTTCATGGTGACCCTACACTGAGCTGTGCCAGAGACAGAACAGAAGAGCCTTTTCACTGGTTAGCTACACTTCTCAGATTCTTAAAGGGCTTTATTCTCCCTACATTATTTTCTGCCATTATTCCTCACTTGCCACGCAATCAGGAGGAAACAGCCCTTCAAAGCACAGTGACAGCCACAGTAAAGCTAGGCAGTCTCTGGTGATCATAACAGCCTTAAATCCTTTGGAACAAAGGGAACCCCTCACAGTAGCCTAAGAGGCACAGAACTGAAATACTAAGAACAGAGTCCCAGGAGGTAAGACAGGCAGTAGACTCCAAGGTATTATATGCAATACAAACATTTTTAAAAAAAATCTATAATCTTAATATCAACCTACTGTAGTTTTCACTTTAGGAGGAACAATAACATGCTTTGCTTCTGTAACAAGCTTTACTCACCCCTTGTTAAATTGCACAATAGGGCCATCTCCTTAGTGTAAATTCTCATTCTGTTAACCATACATATTCAGCTGTTCCTACAAAAATTGCACCATTCAAACCACAATGTGTAATAAAAACAGCTTTAGCTTCAGAAAAAACCCTGACACCATTAAATTGGCACAAAGCCAGTTTACTATAACCTCTGATTCCATGCCCTTTCACACCATTTCTGAAATGTGAAATCTATCCCCCTTCCTGCTAAGTCTAAAACATGTCCTGAAGACATGTTCCCAAAAGTCTAGGTTATAAACCCCCTCCAGGGTTCTTAGTGCATGCTGTTGGAGCCAAAATAAATGTGGGTTCATTGTTAATGGTGAAAGGCTATTTTATAGAAACAAATGAAAAAAAAAAAAAAAGCACATTATGGCACAAGAGGAAGGTCCACAAGGCAATACTTACAAGAGATCTCTCAGAGCAGTCTTAAAGATGATACGAAGAAACCTCCACCCTCCACTGCCAATGTAAATGCCCAGTGTGGCTGCCAGACTCCATGACCAGGGCACACCAAAAAATCTCATTAGCCCAAGAGAGCCCAGAGAAGCAGTATAAACCCCAACCATGCGCATCTAAGGAGGGAGAGAGATTTCAGAATCATCAGAGCCAAGCAGTCAACTCTGACCCCTTAGCAACCACCAGCAACAGGCAAGAGATGCATCCTACCACTACTGAAACCAGCAGGAGACACTGTTGTGCTCACAGGACTCACAGTTATAAAAAAAAAGTTTAATGACTGTGTCAAAACAGCAAAGCACAGGGAACAGGACTCTTCTGAATTAATTTCTGCAAGGTTCAGTAACGTATTTGGATTTATGATTTTTCTAGCCATTGTACATGCCAAAAAGGTAAACCATGAGCCAGACTTGAAGTAACTCGCTAAACCAACCACAGACTTCCTCAGCCAAAGAAAGGCATTTGTACCCAAATGCTTGCAAAGAAGAATTTTTTCCAACTATTGTGGTTGGTCTAATAAAAAAAAGAGCAGATTTACCCAAAGAACCTTGTCTGCCCTAGACGACAAGGAGTTCTCACAGACCCTGGACTAGGATCATACACCACGAGGGCTGGAGGAGACCTCAGGAGGGCACATCTAGTCCAACCCCTGCTCAAAGCAGGACCATCCCCAATTAGGTCATCCCAGCCAGGACTTTGTTGAGCCAGGCCTTGAAAACCTCCAAGGATGGAGATTCCCCCACCTCCCTGGGTAACCTGCTCCAGTGTTTTACTACCCTCCTTGTGAGAGTTTTTCCCAATATCCAACCTAAACCTCCCTGGCTGCAACTGGAGATGACACCAGGTTGATCGCTGTGACTAGAACACCAGGACAAGCCCCAATCCCTCGCTTTCTTTTTAGCAGTTCGTGAGAAACAGGTCGCAGGTGTGGATGTGGGGCAGGGCCGGGAAGGGGAAGCATCTGTCGAGTCCTGCCCCGGGGCTGCATGGGACCAGGCACCGTCTGCCTTAGATGCACCGCGGCGTGGTGCATTTGTCCCGACAGACCCGGCAGGTCGCTCGGCGGCCCCTGTCCCTTAGCCCGGGACAAGCCCCAGGCAAGTCCGCGGGGGCAGCCCCGCGCTCAGCCTGACCCAGCGGGGGGTGAGGGCGGCAGGCACCCGGCACCCACTCCTCACTGAGCCCAGCTCCGAGAGCAACGCGCGCACGCACCGACCCCGAGACAAGGGCAACGGCTCCCCGTGCGCCCCGGCCCCAGCCCACCGCTACCTTGTCAGCTGTAGAACGTCTTGCGCGCGGGCCGCCCACCCCGGAAGTAGCGTCAGGCAGGGGGCGGGCCGAGTAGGCTCCGCCTCCCGCCGGGGCTGGGACCAGCGAGAACGCCAGGCTAGACAGGCCGGAGCATAGAGAGCCCGAAGCTAGAGCGGCCGCGCTCGGGTCCGCCCGCAGGAGGCGCTGTGGAGCTGTGGGCCGGGTCCAGAGGTGGAAGTAGTGGGAGCTGCTTTTTGCAGTTGCGAGGAGTGTATCTAGTTGCCTTTCCGTCCTGCTGTGACATCACACCCTGTCCTATGTCTTTGCGTTCTTGGTGTCACACTGATCAATTGTGGATCTATGTACAGCAATATTATAGATTCATGTCTTGATTTACTACTATATTTATATGAATAGTCTTATATTGGGCTCTATTTTTAGTATAATATTTGTAGTTTGATTACTTTGTTCGAACTTATTTATATTATGGTTGTATGTGTGTTGTGTCATTTTCAGGAGCTTGGCGTTTAGCCAGAATTCTTAACGAATTGAATTGAATTTGTGTCACGCTGCGTTATCAGGAAGGTGTGATGCCACCACACCACGATGTCTTGCTGCATCTGGTCTAGGCACTGTTTCGAAGCCCACAGTTCCCCTGGTTCTGTAGACGAGAAAATAGTTTGTGCCCGCGGCCAGAGGTGACTGGTTTGAAAGCAGGTTCCTGGAGATGGCTGCATCTGTAGTGCAGGCAGCGCCAGAGTACTGTCTCTGGGACTTTCCTTCAGTCCCATGGGTACTACTGTGTTTCACAGCATGTATCACTGCCTAGTTAGTGAAAAAACAGGATTTAAACAGGCTGCCTCACGTGCCGCAGAGCTGTATGTTTCTGTACCTATTCAATTCTTTGAAATAAGTTTATAGGTAAAAGGGTCTCAGAGAATGTGCAACAAATTAAAGCATTAACAACAACTGAAGTGTCCAGCTTGTGTTATCTGGTCACATTCCCACATCTGCTTCTAAAAGACTTAGTGTTATAACATTTATGTTCAGAGAGGCTGTTTAGTCTTGGTTGCTGGGAACAGTTCATGCAAAATGAGCAGTGTATAGACAAGAAGCTCTTCAGGTTCCTTCTTCCTCTCTGCTGGGTCACAAACTGTAAAATGGTTTCCAGCAGTTACTGCGCCCTTTGGATTTCCAGCAGCACTTTGCAAACTGCTACATCTTTTTTTCTAATATATTCCTAAAGTATTTTTATGTCCTCATGCAACCCTGACTATTGTCTTCGCTCCTTTCTGCTCAAAATTAAATTTGTTCCAAACAGATGATGCTGACCTTTCCCTTAGTTCTGTTTCTACACATTCATTTATGAGACATCTGGCATTATACCATCCTAATGAGAAAAAAAATGTTTTGTATTACTGCAGGTCCCCCATGTTTGATTCAGAGAAGCAATTTGAGAGGCACATACTCTGTGAGAAATACAGCAACATCGTTGAGCTGCATTCCATTGTTCTCGCATCCTATGTGACTTCAAGTAAACTATGATATGGTGAATGCACCCCTCATTTGGGCACTATTGCCTGTAAGCTGTAGTATCTGTGAATATGTAGGAAGTATAATGTGTGTGCGTTAAACAGTGTTTCAAAATACTTATTTTGATTTATCCATCAAACACTGGGTTCATTTTCCTGCCAAAGTTACTGATATCACAAAAGCCTGAAGCAATCTGTTCTGCATTCCTTCCTCTGCATTAGGCTTATTTGAACATGAGATTTTGCAGATCACTGTAAAAGAACAGATTTTCCAGTAATTCAGACTTCATTCCCCAGTATCTCCTAGTTACAGAGTATACGTTGTAGCAAGGTTCCCATTTTCTCCTGCTTTTTGGCAAGAATCATTGATGTTGCCTCCAAGCTGTGCATGTGCACGGCCATGCACAATTTAAAATCTTGCCGCGCACTAACTTATTAATGCTGCACACCCGCCCAGAGAGGAGCTGGGCGTGGAGAGCGGTAGAGGCACTGGGGCCGGTGCAGGACACTTACCGGAGGTAAGTTCAGGGAGCGGCTTCTCCGCGAAGCAAGGTGGGGGTGGGGATGGA